ACACAAAAGATACAAACACAGAAGGAAAGCCACACATGCGTGGACACAATGCTGGATTCATGGACAAAGGCAAGCTGACCAGCACCCCCAGAAGCTCCTGGGCCCACCCTGGGCTCACACTGACCCCTCACGCGCATATACACACACAAACACACACACGCACACTGATACACACGTTCATGCTGACAAGCGCAGCAGCACTCACGAGCCAGCTGCCCTCACCCTGTCCCCAGAGCCCCTTACCTGGGCAAGCACAGTGCCCCTCGGGTAGAACAGCCCCCTGCCCAGGGGAGGGCAGCAGGCGGGGGCGGGGGAAGGAGCCCCGGAGAGTCAGGCCAAGCTGCCACTAATCCGGGCGGGAGAGGGGGGGGCACCCACGTCAGAGCGGGGACTGCCGGGTGGAGGGCATCTGAGGACATCCCCTCCCACACACGCGGCCGTCTGGGCACCTAGCCCTACTTCCCCAGCCCCTCCATCCTTCAGACAGCTGAGGCTGGCCTCCCCCCACCCTACCCCCCCACCCTTGTGGCAATGCCTGGACCCCGGGGAGGGCGTGGGGGAGGGGGAATACCGGGGAGAATTCTCCCAGAACCTGGGGTGAGGGGGAGAGGAAGGGAAGTGTTGGAGATGCTTTTGGAGCCAGGAGGAAGCTCTGGAGCAGATGCCCCCTCCCCTCGTGCCCACCCACCCACATCCCTGACCTAATTCCTCTTCTCAGTCTGTACCTCCCCATTGCCCCTCCTCCCTCCCCCAACCTCCCCTCCCCTGCAGTCCAACCGCCCCGGTAGAGAAAGCTACCTCATTCTGCCCCAGGCTCAGGACCTTCTGCCTAGCAACCCAGCTCTGGCCCCCAGGATTTCCTGAGTAGCAGGCACCATCCTTCTGCTGGGATTTCTGTCCCCTACCCAGCACTCGGACCTCCTGGCAAGTCCCTGATGCTTATGGGGTGAGAGCCTGGGGGCTCTTGTTGACCCCCTCCTGGGCGGGGCAGTGCCAGCCCAGACTCCCCAACTGGGCCTGGGCCAGGGCAGGGCTGGAGCAGGAGGCTAACTCCCTGACCCCCGGAGTGGCCGCTATGACTGCAGCAGGAGCCAAGGGCACATGGAGACCAGAGGCAGGAACAGAGACCTGGATGGACACAAAAGGACCACATGCAGAAAGGAGCTGAAGAGGGAGGGAAAGGGAGGAGCCCCCCCAAGGTCCGAAAGCAGGTGGGGCAGTGTGGAGGCAGGAAAGGGGAGACCAGGAATTCAGGACCACACACACCCGGCAACTGGGAGGCAATGGAAGAGACCCTCACACAGATCAGGCGGACGACGGGGAAGCTGGAGAGTCAGCCCAGGGTGCAAACCGAGAGGGGCAAGTCCCTGGGTCCAGCTGAGGCATGTTCTTCCCAGGGGCCTGGCCCAGGTGCCTTCATCTTCCTCAGTGCCCAGCACGGAGCCCAGCACGTCTTTGCTCCAGGCCAGTTGGAACAGAGGCCCAGCCTTGATCTGCCTGGGCATCCTGGTGGATAATAGAAGGCTGAGGGCTGGGACAAGCCAGAGCCTAGAGGCCCTAGGGCCAGGAACCCCACACAGAGGGCGGCAGATACCTCTGTGATTCTCAGAGGGACACGGGAGGCTCTAAGGGAGGCCCAGGCTATACCCAATGCTCCAGTTTCAGGATCACGTGTGTGCTTGGCCAGCAATTCCCCCAGAACTTGGAATTCTTCTCGTCCCTTCCCCTCTGGGCTCCGCATGTCTCAGAACCCACATAACTTGCAGCAGCCATTTGGCAAATGTGTGTTCTAGAGAACCCGCCATTTTCAAGGCTCTGTGACTAGCACTGAGGGGATAGAGTGGGCAAAGATGAAAGCACAAGGCCATCTCTGCCCTCGAGGACCTTATATAGTCACTCAGTGTGTTTGTTCTTGTACCAGCAGTCTCTGGGGCCTCTGACATATCCGGCCCGGCGCAGGGCACCATGGGGTGACTCCTGGAGGCGTCATGTTTACAGGTGAGGATAAGGTGCTTCTAATTCCACCTGAGAAGTGGGGGGAGCTTCCCAGAGCAGGTAACACTCAAGCTGGCAGGCCAGAGAATAAGTGGGCCTTCACCACTGAGCCACACACGTATGACAGTATTTCCCTTGGACCATTTGTTCCAGCCTGGGATACAAAGTGCGCAGGACGCAAGTCTGTGCTTTACGAAGTCACATGAACAGGCAGACAATCTGAAGTGCTCAAGGCACTTCAGAAGTCCATGTAAGAATAGATATGGTGTGGTCTGGACAAGCCACCAACCCCCAGGGGGCAGGGGGCAGGGGGCATGCTGGCCAAGGGCTTCCTGGGACAGGCGGTGTCTGAGTGGGGAGCACAGGGCAAACAGGAATAGGACAGGGAGCTGGGTAGAAGAGGAAGATCGGGTCAGGGGAACACCATGGAGCTATGAGACAGTCTGATGGACGAGGGGGCAAATACAAAGCAAGGTTAGGGGAGGCCTGTTGGGAGAGAGGGGAAGGGCGATGCGTGCACCAACACAGCCCACAGTGTACCCAGGACTGGGGAGCAGGCCAGAGATAGGAGACCTGGGAGTTTGAGGAGGGGCTGGCAAGTCAGGGAAGGCTTCTTGGAGAAAGCAGGTCTGTAAGGAAGGCTGTGGGGGCTGGGAAAGAAAGGCTGTTCAGAGGCCGAGGCCGGGAGATTCAAAGGCCCGGGGGCCGACCTGCATGAACGGATGAACATGAGCGCTCAGGGTCAGAAAAGTCAGGAGTTGTGGGGCAGCCGGGCTAGCGAGGAGGCCAGGGGTGGGCGTAAGGCGAAGAAGATCTCGCACCTGAGAAAAGTCACTATTTTTCCTCAGGGGCCCAAGGGACTCTGCTGTCCATTCGAAAGCCCATTGTAGGAATGAGGGCGGGGAAGCTCCAGCTCCCTCAACACCCCATAGCTTCAGGCCTCCCCCAGTGCCCCCTTCCTCTGAGCCTATGTCTCATTTGCCCATTCACTGCACACTCCTCTGTTGTGCACCCCCAGTGCCGGGGGCTGGGTCCCGCCTTTCCAGGTCTGCCACAGCAACTTCTGGGCCATCCTGCCTCATGAGACAGGACCCCCACGCGCAGGCAACACGACCCGGGACAAGTTGTTTCACCTCTCCGAGTCTCCGTTTTTCTGTCTGAGAAATGCGTCTAAGCCCTACCCACAGGCTCACTGGGAAGATTTAAGGAGACCGTGTCTAAAAATGGCCAGGGCAAGGCCAGGCATGAGACCGATGTTCCACATAGGTCCATCTCCCTGTCCTTGCCTCATCTCACCCTGTGCTGTGGGGAAGCACACCGACTCCGGGGCCACACTGCCTGGTTCCAAGACGAGTTCTGCCATTTATTAGCTTTAGCTGTGTAACCTCGGGCAGATCACCTGTCCTCTCGGTGCCTGTCCTCCCATTTTTTTTTTTTTTTAGATTATTTATTTGACAGACAGAAATCAGAAGTAGGCAGAGAGAGAGGAGGAAGCAGTCTCCCTGCTGATCAGGGAGTCTGATGCGGGGCTCCTTCCCAGGACCCTGGGATCATGACCTGAGCCGAAGGCAGAGGCTTTAACCCACTGAGCCACCCAGGTGCCCCCTGTCCTCCCATTTTTATTTTTTATTTTATTTTTTATTTATTTTTTTTTATTGTCCTCCCATTTTTAAAGGGGCGCTGTGATCATTGTACTTGCCTCAGAAGGTTGTGGGGAAGATTCAGCACATGTACGTTAGGGGCTCAGAGCAGGGCTGGGCAGTCATGTCCTCAGTGCTAGCCATTCCTAGACTCTGCATCTTGAGTGTCTGGAAACAGGCCTGGCACCTGGGAGAGACGCACCAGAGATTTTTTGAATGGATACATGCAGAGATGAGGCAACACCATGATGCAAGGGAACGCCTAGATAGGAAGTCATTGAACATCAGTATGTGGGGAGCTAAACCACCCCAGCCGATTACGTGCCTTCCCGAAATAAAACCCAGATAATCCCCACACCAAGAATTAATCCACACTCCTCAGGTCACTCAGGGTTACCCCCCCCACACACACATTTCCCCTCTTCCTACCCCCTCTTCACTTCATCAAAAGTGGGAAGGAAGAGCAGACACGGGGTGGCTGAGGGGAACAGATGTGGGACACTGCGGTGAGACCGGCACCCAGGGGCAGGAGGGGGCGAAGCCAGCCCCGGCTACCTCAGGGATTAGAGTCGGGGATGACATAGAGTCAGCTCTGGCAAAGAGCCTGGATCTCAGAACAGGGGAGACTCCGGGGATTGGGCAGACAGGACCAAGGACTGCAAACAACAAGAAGGAACAGCAGAGAGGGCCCTTGGAGGCCAGGCCAGAATTCTGCATCTCTCCAGCCAGCCAGCCAGCCAGCCAGCCAGCCAGCCAGCCAGCCAGCGGCCAGGCCCCTCTAGGGCAGGGCTCTGGCCCGCCTCTCAACCCCACCCTCCTTGACCTGGAAGCTAGGGGCAGCCCAGACCCTGGCAGCTGCTGCCCTCTTGCGGCCACTCTGAAGAGGTGCAATGTTCCCCAAGCCAACCTGGGTGTTTACAGGAACTCAGGGCCCCTACAGCTGCCTAGAGACCCCCATGGGCCCATGGAGGAAGGTGGCCTCCCCGGGGCCTAATCTATTTACAGCTCCAGCTAATCCCCAAGAGATTACTGTGCTGCCCGTGTTCCCTCCACACCTCTGTTCCCACTGGCTTCTACTTCCCATCAAGGTCCAACTCCATCTCCTTCTGACTCTAGTCTTAGGCTCTGAACTGTCTCAGGGGTATACCCCCCCCCCCGCCCCACTCTCCCATCTGTGTTCTCAGAGGTCTCCAAGAGCCTCCGGTGACAGTACTCGCCACATCACAACCATACATCAATGGTTCCCTCCCCCAGGAGACCGGGCCCTTCTGGCAGTCTGTCTGTCTTTTCATCCCATCCTAGGACTGGGACTGGCCTGTAGCAGGCTATCTAATAATGTGTATTAATTAAACCAGAACACGCAGAACACTTTTATGTGTTTATTTACCAAAACGTGCATAAACCTGACCACATTCAGCAACACAAGACACACAACCAGGACACACACACACACACAGGGCCTTGGAGGAGGCTGTCAAGTACTTTGAAGGACAGAAAGGAATGAACATGGCTGGGTGGACTTTTGGTTTCACTTGCAGAGGTTTGGGAAGGGCTCTGGTCCCACACACCCAAGAGGGGAGAAGGAGGAGAAAGGCAATAAATAGAATCCTGGGAACAGCCCGCTTTGGTACATTACAGGTATAGCCCCGTGCATGGCCCCAGCAGCTTGGGAGCCAGGAGGACAGAGCCTGAGCAGCTGCCTTAGACAGATCAGACGTGCCACCAGAGGTCTCTTCCAAACAGCCCCCAGCGCCTCATAAGGCAAGAGAGGTAAGACTGGACCAGGCTCCACAGACCCTAGCTGTTCATGTCCGAAGAGATGGTCTTCTTCCTTGTCCTAACCTTCAGGGAACGCGAGGTGGTACCCTGGTGAGGGGTGGAGAGCAGGTACGACCTGAGAAGGTCTAGGCCCTGGGTACCTGGGTAACACACCTCCCTCCCACCTCCCTCATGCCTCCCTTGCCACTGACCTCCCGCGCCAGCGGCTTCCTTTTGACCACACGCAGGCTTTGGCTGCGGCTCAGAGGTCTCTCTCGGGGTCGAGCAGGTGGCTGGGGGACTACCTCGGTATCTGACCAACACTCATCGTCGGTGTCACTGTCCTGCAGACCCCCTGCCCGGTACCCTGTATTGAGGAGGGGGAGGCCGGGGAGGCAAAGCTGAGCATTTCCATAGTGGGAAGGCCAAGCCAGGCCTTCTTCGAACCCTTGGGGAAGCCCTGGCTTGCATGGAAGCATCAGCCCCCTGAGAACAAACAGCCCCAGATTGCTCTCCCACTCACCGATGGGTGGCCTGTGGCAAGGGACTTGGTCCTCCAGGTAGAGGGGATCTTGGTAGGTGGGAGCAGGGTCATTGGGGATGGAGCGCAGGTCCTGCATGGAGAAGCTCCGCAGCCTTCCGGCCAGAGCACCCTGACTCTGCAGGGGACGGGGAGCCACCATGTCACCCGGCGGGACGGGACTGGGGATCCTAGCAGAAAGGGGTCTGAGCCAGCACAGCTGCTCAGGGAGGTGAAGGGGCCCAGGCCAAGGAACTGAAAGGAGCTCAGTAACCTTCTGGCCCCATGCCTTTGCGACACCAACAGGAAATGAAGGCCCAGAGAGCAGGAACAAGCACTCGTGGTCACTGTCCCAGCCAGGAGAAGTCTGAACTTCCAGCTCCATCCCCCTGCCAACACCCCACCTGTCACCCCTCACCCTGTTCCCTGGTATGGTCAGGTGCTCTCTCTCGGCTCCCTGACAGAGAGCTGCACCCCTCCAAAAGGCACTGGGGGTGGGGGTGCTGCTGGAGGGCTGGGGCCCAGGGCACCTTGGTGGCAGCCTGCACAGCGGCTGAAGCAGCAATGTTGAGGCCCCGTTTCCCAAAGCTGAGCACCGTCTCATAGCTGCGCTCCTTGGCCTGGACAATACAGGTGTCAATCTCCTGCGGAAGACAGGGAAGTGGGGGGGGGGGTCAGTTGGGACAGTTGGACTCAGCTGGACAGTTGAGTCACTCCTCTGCTGCGCACCGTGCCTCCCTGCCCATCCCCACCTACCAGGGCCCCGGCAGCCACACCAAGAGCTCCCCACCCACCCATTTCCACACTTCTGTGAGTGACCACACGCAGCCTCCTCCCACCATCCCCAAAACAACTTCGAGCTGGTGTTTCACAGCCTCGAATGGTTATTCCCGTGTGCTTGCATTTGATTACCATGAGAGGAAGAAGACTAGTTTCTGTCAAGGTCAGTCCCACAGCTCAACGGCAGCAGGACTCAGATTAGAACCCAGATTAATCACCCAGTATCCGGAACCCCAAGTCTAGGGCCCTCTTTTTCATACCCACCCCTATGTTTCCCTACTCAACTCCCACCAAGTACCTTCTCATGACGGGACAAGGACGGGTGGACAAACTTGCGGTAAAGCAGGCTGGCCCCTCTGGTGTAAGGTGACAACAGCCACAGTACAAAGGCCATCTTGATCTCATAGTAGAAAGGGAACCTTTCAAAGGGAAGGGTGGTCACGGTCAGCCAGGGGGCCAGGCAGAGAGTGGCCTGACACCGCCCCACTGCCCATAGACCTTCTGCGTGCATACCAGGAGATAAAGATGTCCGTGAAGGTCTCCACCGCCATGAACAGTGCAAAGACTATCCAGTACATCATCCATCGCACCTGGGGGGCAGGTGGCAGTCAGAGGCCAATAGCTGAGCCCGCACAGCCACCTCCCTTGTCCCAAGCTGACCCGAGATTCCAGAGAGCCTGTGCTGCTGCATTCTCCCAGCTCCGGCCGGCCCCAGAGAGCTGTCTCTGAGAAAATGCCACCCATTTCTATGCCCACCCCCACAAGAAGCTTCACCCACAGGGTCCTGCACAGGCATCCTCAACAGCCTGCCCTCCAACCGCACCCACTCTGCTCAGGCTATCCCATCTGCTTATGCCCCTGGAAGAAGGGGAGGCCAGTTCTGACCCTCCCCACCTTGCCGAGTCCTCCATACCCCCAAGGCTGTCGTCCCACCCAGTCTAAACCAAGCCCTCCTGCCCACAACCACACTCACATATTCACGAATGTTTTTGGTCTTCACAGCCTTGTAGGAAGCATACGCTGGGTACAGCATCCCAAACACCAACCTAGAAAAGCCGGTAAAAATGAGCGGGAGGATGAGGGCCATCATGTCCTCCTGCCCCCCACCAGATGGCCACCTCCCCCATAGGTGTGCAGTGGTAAGGACCTACCCCGTTCTTCCTGCTTGGCTTGCACAACCTGTGCCTGAGTCAGTACCCTGAAGGCTACCTCCCCACCCTGCTGTTTACAAACACCCCAAGCCTGCCCAGGCCTGCACGGGTGCCCTATGGGTGAATGATGGAGCGGGAGCACACACAGCCACACACAGGTGGGTGGGAGGCAAGCTTCAGAGCTGGGGAGAGCACCAGGCCGTCCCCTCCCATGGGCATGCAATCAGGCCCGGAGCCACCAGACCTGGCACTGCCAGGCTGCAGGCAGGAATATAGGAGCCAGGTGCTGGAATACTAAAAGGTGAGAGGAGGACAGAGTGGGGAGGTAGAGGCCAGGGCAGTGAGTCATGTGACTGCTCAGATGGGAAGCAGGCACCTGGAATCTCCACCCACAAGGTGCCACAACACCTTGCGGTTGCTAAGGGGCTGCCAGGCCGGTGTGAGGGCCTCGGTCCCACAGCCCTGTCTTCAGTGTGTGTGACTGCGGGAGGTGTCGCCAGGAGCCAAAGAGACTTTGGGAATGGAGGACAAGCGAGGGTGCCGGCTGGCACGTGCGTGCCCGCAGGTCCGTTAACCCTTGTGTGAGAGTTGAGGGCGCTGTGCCCCCTCTCCCACCAGACGTTCCCATCAATCTTCCACCTCAGGAGCGGTCTGGCTCCTGGGGTTAGAGGGTGTCTGAAAGCAGCCATACTCACACCACCAGGCGACAGAGTATCCAGGACACCATCCTGCAGCCTCGGCACGAAGGGGGAACCTCCGCAAGAAGATGACCAGAGAGGGACGCTCACGCGGGTCTGGGATGGGGTAATTAGTGGAAGTGCAGGAACCAGAGGGGCGCTCGGGCTGCCCCTTGGCAGAGGCGGAGCCCGCCACCCCCTCACTCAGCAGTGCGCGGAGCCTGAAGAGTGGGGAGACCCGTGGGCTGAAGCGAGGAGGCCAGGGCTCGGAGGAACCGACTTGCGAGCCGGTAAGGGCGGGCGCGTTCTTTCGCCCCGCGGCGCTCCTGGGGCAGTTACGGCTCAGCCCTGCACTTCCTGCTGCGGGGAACCAGGTGTTCGGCTCTCGCCGTGGCGCTGCTGCGGGTCCTGGGCCGCGGGTGGGGATCACGGCCTTCGCTCGTTCGGGTCCCCGCGGTCTCAGCGGGCCCTGCCACGGATACCGGCCTCGGGGCGGAGTTTGCAACTCACTTGAAAGTTGCACGGAACTAGGCTCTGCCCAACCCCAGGGCTCCGGCGCTTGGCGCAGGCGCAGTGAGGCCCCGGAGGGGGCGGGGCAAGGTCAAGGAAGCCAGCGGCCTGCCCCCTTAAAGGGGCGATGCGCCTCCTACTTGTGGATGAGGCCCAGTAGGTGAGCGGCCTCCCTAATTGGAAAGATTAGGGGGCGGGAAAAGGCAGCAAAAAAGGTGGGGAAGAGGAAACGAAGGAAACCTGGAGTCCAGAGTTCTCTCAGCTTTTCCCTGGCTTCCCCCTTTTGCCTTGTCTTTCCCTTCTGTAAAATGGGAAAAGGCATGGGATGGGTGCAGTACCCCACTTCCAGGCTCACGGACAAGTGGGAGGAGGCTTGGCTGAGCGCCAACAGATCCAGGTCTTGCAGCCCTGGGTCAGGAGATGCTTAAGCGCCCCGAAGATGCTGAGTTGACCTAGGGCGAAAGCAAGAAAAAGTAGGAGAGGGAATCTGAGGGACTCATCACCGCGCCCCACCCCCTGCCCTCTCCCCGGAGTCACCCTGAAGAGTGGGTTTAAGGAGTTGACTTCTCTCTCTAGAGCCCACCTGTTTGGGTGGGCTGACCATGATTATTTGAGAGATTCTGGACAGAGCCCCCTGCCACCACTCCCCCACCCATGCCCTTTTCACCAGAAGTTTGAAGTTCTATTCCTGTGAGTCAAGAACACAAACATCCTTGAGAGCTGAATCATATCAACAATTGCCACTTTGTAGCTAATTTTTGTGTGCAAGGTCTTGACCCTTATGAAGATCCCCTCCAACCTTATTTTTTACCATTTAGGAAATACATTCCTTCTGTGGCATTGGTTGCTGGATGATGGTGAATTCTCCACTGATCCATCTTCTGAGCACAGCCCAGGAAGGGGAGAGGGAACAGAGAAGCTCCTCTGGGGGCAGGGGTATAAGGGAAAGAAAGTGGGAGGCTCGAAGGAGAATGCAAGCTTTGTTGCTTCTAGAACTTTATACGTAGGATTGCATTCTTTGTTCTCACTTCTGCATAGTGCCCCGTTCCTCCCTCTGACAATAAGGACCATACCTCTCCACCCTGGGCAGCCACCCCCTCTGTTTCACAGAGCTGAGGTGAAGGAGACAGCAGAGTTACCCTGAGCCATGGGGATGGGAAACTTGAACAGTTATTAATTTTTATTAGAGCCATAGTTAACACCCATCATCTATGGAAAGGATGGCATAGGTAATGATGGGGGCCAGGGAAAGGAGGCTTCCTGGGAATAAATAAACACCAGGTAATGATGTAGTCTTAATTACTATCATCCATTTTATTGGTGGTGTTGGGTGTGAGAGCTAGCAGTGAAACCGACCCACAGGAGAAACTGCCCTGAGGCCTCCCTCTTCCCATCTAACCATCCCCTCACACTAGGACTCACTTCTACCTTATGTTGGAAGAACAAGAGACTGCAAGGGCCAGAGTCCCACCACCCATCTCTAGGCCCAGACAATGTGATCGAGATGAAAGTTGAGCTTAATTGAGGAGCCACATTCTTGTCTCCTGGGAGCAGAAGGATGTGAGTGACTCCTGGGGACAGCTCAGGAGGAGCAGGGGGTTGCAGAAGAGGGAAGGAAGCTCCGATCCTCAGGAGATGAGGGTGCCTGGGCTGACGGTGTGTGTGCGCACCTCTGGTCCTTTGGTACCTGCTGCACGGCCACCTCCTCCCTGGCTACCTTCCAGAGTCACCTGACCTCAGCACCTACCCCCACTTGGTGGTGAAGAGCTCTCCTGGGCCCTCTTTAAGACCATCTCCACGGGGGGCTCCTGGGTGGCTCAGTGGGTTAAAGCCTCTGCCTTTGGCTCAGGTCATGATCCCAGGGTCCTGGGATCCCAGGGTCCTGGGATCAAGCCCCGCATCGGGCTCTCTGCTCAGCAGGGAGTCTACTTCCCCTTCTCTCTCTCTGCCTGCTTCTCTGCTTACTTGTGATCTCTGTCTGTCAAATAAATAAATAAAATCTTTAAAAAAAAAAAAAAGACCATTCCCACGGGGAAGGGCTCTCACACGGAGACTCTGCACTTAGGGAATCTAAGGGACAGCAGAGGTCTGCTCCTGAGAGCAGGGCTCAGCATGGAGGGGCATGCGGCTGAGGGGTGCAGAGTGAGTGGACTCTGTTTCTCATGGCCTTTGGTCGTGAGATATTGACACAGTCATCCAGCTACCCTGGGTTGCTAGGCAACTCTCTGGACACACTGGTGACCCCCAGGGCAGGTGACCAGGCAGGCATACATCAGGCTGCATTCCCCATGTACAGAAAGCTGGGCACTCAAGGGTAGTAGGGTCTCCCACCCCTGGAGGGAGTCCCAGGGGGAGTGACAAAATGTTTATCTTTCTACCTGGCAACAGAGTACCAACGTGTCTGGGACACTCAACCTACTTCTCCTGGCAACTTCTTCCTGGCCCAGCATGAGGGTCCATTCCCCATTTGAAGAAGCAGGACAGGAATTCCCAGGACAGTGTGACTGGGGGACCTGAGGGACATCTGCTAAGCCAAGAGCACATGAACATGGTTTGAAGAGGTGGAACCCCAGACACAGCACCCATGAGGTTCCCCATGGTGAGGGGGAGCTCAGGGGCAAGCTTGGGGGTGCACCTGACACTAGAGGAGAGACAGAGGGCCAGGGGCTCTGAGACTGATGGGTGAGGAGTCCTAGTCTGCAGACAGAGTTCTCCCCAAAGATCAACCTCCTCCTTTTCCAGCAAGCACCCTTCTCTGAGCCCCTTCGGCATCTCCTAGAGTCCTAAAGACAAGTCACAGTGCTGTGTCAGACACACTATTCCAACGGCTTTCCACATATGAATGTATCATATATTTCATGCATCTAGATCTCACACTAACTCTGTCAGCCAGGTATCTTATCCACATGTCATCGATGATAAAACCAGAGATACAAATGGGCTCAATGACATGGTTGAGGCTGCCCTTGCAGCTAAGTGGCAGGATCAAGAACTGACAGCCTAAGTTTTAGTATCTACTTGACAGAGGAGAAACCGAGGGCCAGGGAAATCAGTGCACTTGCTCGAAAACTCCCACCTCAGGCAAGAGCTGGATGCAATGGAACAGAATGGAGAGGGACTGCTGAGCTTGTCTTTGGCCATGTTGGTTGGAGTTGACCTGATGGAAGGACAGACTCCAGTCTTCATGGGCCCCAAGTCTGTGATCTCCAGGAAGGAAAACTTGGGCCATGAGTCAGCCCCAGGTGGTAGAGACTAGTCACACTTGATCCGCATTTGAATGTCATCATCATCATGAACTCCTGACCCCAGCACCAGCTGACTGTGGGGTGCCCACTTGCTCCTCTGAAAGAGAGCAAGGAAGAGGGGGGTCTGAAGGCTACTGCCCCCTGAAGACAGCAGGGACAGAGAACACAGCCCTGGCTCTGTTCTGAAAGAAACAGCCACCTCCAACAGTAGCCATTGGACACCTGAGAGCCAACAATGGGGTGGGACATTTTTATTTGCAGCAGTGAAGTCATGACATTGCCCCCAAGTGCCCCTGGGCGTCCGCCACCAGTGGGCCCTCACAGAGTCTGGGCACAGGGAATTCTGCCAACCTCACCCCATGCCTTCTCCGCCAGCCTTGCAGCTCCAAGCTGCCTATTCCCAGCCTACAGCAGAGGGCAGCAGAAGCTTGGCTCCCAGGTCCTACCTCTGCGGACCCTCACCCCCCTCCACCCCTCAGCTCGCACTAAGACACAATGCTCCTGGGGCCTGCCTCTGTGGATTGGAGAGATCCTGGGATCCCCAGGATGCTCTCTAGCCCTCCTCCACTCTTGGCACTGGCCCAGTTGGCTCAGGTGCTTGCCGGGGGGCCCTGGCTCGGCCAGCGTTGGGACCCACCTTACAGAACCTACACAGCTCAAGGTCCACATCCCAAAGGCGGGGCTGAACCAGGGGGTGGTCAGAAAGCTGGGGCAGCCACGGTGAAGAAAAGCTGAAGGGCTTTTATCTGGGTGGTCTCCCATCCCCAGGTGAGCTGGATTCAAGGTCAGAGCAGGAAACTCCAGGGAGAACAGAGAGGACCCTAAGAAGAGCTCAGGGTCTGCTTTGTTATTGGTTTGGACAGAGGGGCTTTGCCCCCAGGAGATCAAGCTGGTGCCCAAAGCCTGGCACCACCATTCCCGTCCTTATCAGTTACAGGGTGGGCACATGAGGGATGAGTGAGCCGAGGAGGGCAGGGACCATGTGCCTTCTCCAAGAAGGGAGCCAAGGTGATGAAGGAGAGCCTCTTTAGGCCGCCCTGCATCTGCATGTGTGCACACAGAAGTGGGAGAATTAGCAGGGAGCGTGTGTGTAAACTGAGGGCATCCATCAGCGTCTGCGTGTATATGCCGAAGGAGCATAGCGCAGGGGACTGAGCCCCGCAGCGTGGAGGCTGCAGCCCTAGGGTGCAGTACGGACGTGAGCAGGTAAACAGAGCCCCAGAGCACCAACAGGAGAGACCAGAGAGTAGGAAAGCTAAGCTGAAAAATGGGACCGGTGGTTCTGCTCCCCCATGCCCCCTCCCCTGGGGCCAGAGCCCAGAGAAAGCAGCCGATCAAGGGGGGCAGAGTCTTAGGGCAACAATGTCCACAGAGGAGAGGGCACAGGGCCGCTGAGTTGCCTGGCACATCTCCAGGTCTCCATGCTGATGACAACTATGGTGAGTGGCTCCCCTGGGCCCACCCATAGTGTGTATCCATGCTCACAGGTGGGGGCCGGGGGGGGCGCGGGGGTGTGTGTCCATGAGGCCGTGTACACAGGTTGGTTACACGTGTCTTCACATGTGCAGGCACACGTGCTGCTCACAGAGAGACTTCCCTTCAGCCTCCCTCAGCCACCCGGACCCCAGAGGCCGGGCACCCTCTAGGCACTGAGATCCACCACGATGTGTCGGTACACGAGCGTCTGTCCCTTGAAACTGGGGGCCAGGAGCAGCTGGGCGTCGCCAGCAGGCATGTAGCAGAAGGCCCGAGGGGCCTGCACAGCCAGCTCCTGGAACCGCACGAACTTCTGGCGCCCCTCATCCCACTGGTAGATCTGCGTGAAGGAGAAGTCACTCCCCAGTGCCAGGTAGCGGCGACCGCCCACAAGGAAGGGCTGCATGGCCAGGGAGCCCCTGGAAGGCAGGGCCTGCACTTCAGAGAAGCGGGTGCCCTCCCAGCGCAGGATCTTGGAGTCGCCGATATAGCGGCTGAGACACAGATAGCTGTCGCGACCGGCACGGAAGTGTTTCACGGCCTGGGCGTCGGGCACCTGGGTCACCTCGCCCTGGGCCACAAACTGCTTCTGGGTGCGACTCCACTGGTAGATGACAGGCGCCTGGGAGCTGCTAGATACAATCAACCGTGGCTTGCCCTCGCCATCCACGAACTCCAGGTCAGTGTCACGGTGCCAGGCGTGCAGGGCCTGGTGGGAGTAGAAGCCGTTCTGGTGCCAGCGGTAGAGGCTGGTGGCGCCCGCCTTGGAGCTGTCGGCCACGGCAAAGTACCAGTCGCCATCAATGCGGAAAGCCTCGAGGTCGTTGGGCTTGCGCACGCGCTGTGGGTCGATGTCCTGCAGCTTGGTGAAGCGTGTGGTGTTGGGGTCCCAGTGGTAAATATAAGAGCCCCCAAACAGCTGGGCCACAACCATGTACAGCTGGCTGTCCACCACCATTGGCTTGCAGTGCACGGCAGAGGGGGCTGCGGGGAGGGAGAGAAGCAGCCTCAGGCAGGGTCAGGCAGCCCCGCAGGCCCCCACCCCATGCCATGCCCTTGGAAGAGGGGGGTCACTCCCCTCTGACCCTGGACCAGAACTAAGGCTCTCGGGGACAGTGGGCCTCCCACCGAACTTCACCTACTTCTCCCAGCTGATCATCTGTCTCAGCATCACTCTCCCTCCACCCTTGCCCCCAGGGTTAAAACATCAGCTGACGTGGAGCGCAAAACAGGTGTCCCTACATATTGACCGGGTGTTTATCCATAATAGTGATTATAGAATGTTTATTGTGTGAAGCCCCTGGGCTGAGTGTGAACAACTAATCATCGGAAATGGATCCTGTTATTTTGCCCATTTAACACTGACAGGAGCAGGCTCAAAGTCTAAGTGACGCCCAGAGCTCCCTGGCTGGCCGGATGCCAGGCAGTGGAAGGAGGAAGAGACTGAGCCCGTCCACAGCCAGGTCATAGAGCCAAGGTACACACCATGACACTTTGATGTTTGGATAGTTGTATACGAAAACACATTATCCTAAGAATTCCCACTTTTGCAAGGGCTGTTAGGTACAAGGATGTCTGCACCAACCTCCTTCTGTTCAACAACCAGATCGATCTGACCTCTTCTCAAGCACGTGAAGCACAGAGGGCCGCACTCTTCACCTGTCCTGGTGTCTCTGTTTATCAACTCTCCTCCTTCGCAGCGCTGCTTTACGCACCCTCCTCCTCCCCATCTCTCCCCCCAAGAAAGCCCATGCTGAACCCCAGGCCTCTGGCAGTCACCGCAAATCCCTTCGACAGCCTTGGTCCACTTGCCCAGATATTCATGACTCCCCAGCTCTCAAGTTCAGACCGCCCATGCCCATACACCCAAGAGCACCTCAAAATCCCGCTGGCCATGACTGGGCACACATCTACCCTCAAACCTGTTCCTGCTCTTCCTCCTCTATGTTCTCAATTTCCATCCGTGGCTCCACCCAGTCGCCACCTCCAGAAGCCTGGAGCCATCCCCAACACCTCCCTGTCCCTCACTCACCCACAGCCGATCAGTCCCAAGTCCTGTCAGCCCTCCCTTCTGCTTTCTAATATAGTTTGTGTAGGATTGCTGTTATTCCTTCTGTAAACATTTTCTAGAATTTACCAGGGAGACCATCTGGCCCTGGATTCTTCTTTTGGGGGAAGGGTTCCTTTTTTATAAAGACTTCAGATTCTTTCAGAGATACAGGGTAATTTAAATTTTCTGTTTCCTCTTGTGTCAGTTCACTCCTCCATCCTAAATCTCTCTCTCCATCCCCCCTACTGTCGCCCCAGTCCAAACTCCTGCCTATCCCCCTAACGGTGTGCCCACATGTCTCGCCCCATGCCAAGCCACTCTCCACACGGCATACAGAGAGACTGTTCTAAAATACCAGGTGGGGGGCGCCTGGGTGGCTCAGTGGGTTAAGCCACTGCCTTCGGCTTAGGTCATGATCTCAAGGTCCTGGGATCAAGCCCCGCATCGGGCTCTCTGCTCAGCGGGGAGCCTGCTTCTCCCTCTCTCTCTGCCTGCCTCTCTGCCTACTTGTGATCTCTGTCTGTCAAATGAATAAATAAAATCTTAAAAAAAAATTTTTTTTTAAATGCCAGGTGGTTTGTTTCACACAATCTGCTCAAAACCTGTCCGTGACCTGATCCTTACATCTCTTGGGTCTCATCTGCCTCTTTCCACCTTGAACCTTATGCTGTAGTCACATGAGCTCCTTATGGTTTACACATGCACGCACTCATGCACCAAGCTGTTGCATACCTTCTTGAATTTTCTCATACTGTTCTTGCTGCCAGAATACCCTTGCCACATTTTTCTCTGCGTTAAGTCTCCCTCAGCCTTCTAGACTCAGCTCAAACTCAGTGGATCCCAAACTGAGCTCACTAGCCACTCCTATCTCATTCTTCATTCACTGGAACCAACCAGTTACTCAAGCCAGGCACTTGGGCATCACCTCTGACTTTCCCTTACCCTTCAAGGCTCAAGTCAGGCATCCCCTCCACCAGGAAGCCCTCCTTGATTGCCCAGGGTACGCTTCTCCTTTGTGGTCCTAGAACATCATATTCATATCTCCCTCCTCATACCCACCTATTATATGGATGTTATCTGTGTATGTATTGGCCTCTCCCCAAAGACTGGAAAGTTATTATGAGCAGAGACCATGTCTCATCTATGCCTCTACCTGTAGGTACTCAATGGAGAGGAACAATGGAGCCCAGCACCTCTCTACCCCTTTAAATGTGGGCCACCAAAGCCAGCCGGGGGTAGGTACCTGGTATTCTATCATAATCTCGAAGCTGCCGTTCCACATAGTCCCACTTGAGGACAGTGCAAGCGCTGACACCTGGCTGGGCCAGAGCCAAGTAGAGGTCGCTGGAGTAAAGGAAGGGCTCGGCTGACACTGCTGGGAAGGACAGGGTCTGGTACAGCACGAAATCTGTAGGAATGAGAGGTGAGCGGTGGGAAGAAGAAGGCTCAGAGCTTGTTGGGGGGAAGTGCTGCTGGACTGGGATGGTGGAGGCTGGGGGTGCTTCTGGCAGTGCCTATGAGCGCCCCAGGGATGGGGGGAAGGGGGCACCTCCTACCAGTGGTGATGCAGTCGAACTCTCTCAGTGGCAAGTCCTGCACCTTGTGCTCCTGGAAGCGGGGCGGGCTGGCACAGTAGATGGGAGCCACAGTGGTGTTGGTGTGCGCCAGCCACTCCACAAGCCACTTGACCTTGCAGTCGCAGTTGAGCGAGTTGCCCCGCAGGTCCCTGGATCATGAGGGTGACGGAGGGAACACAGAGAGGAGCAGGCTCCCAGTGGCTCTGCGCCCCCCACACCTCCCACCCGGAGGCTCTCTGGGCTTTTGCAAGTGGGTATAATCAAGGCTGCCGCTCGCTGCTCACATGGCATCTTTGCGCAGATTAGAGAGAAGTCCCCCTTGGGCTAGATGCACCCCCATGGACCTGGGTTTGGCCAGTGGAGCCGGGGCCGAGTTTCAGTCCCTGCTGGCCTCCTGAGTGGGGTACCCTTTTGCAGTATGTAACCTGCACCACTATGTCGCATCTCAGTTCCTTCAGACCTTCCACAGTCCTGGGTTGTTGCTTTTTTTCTTGTGTAAATACTGACTGATGATTGTGGCTATACAATAGGACATTAATGTATGATCAGATCAAACATATGTTTTAAAAGCACATGTTTAAGAAGCATATACATACACACTGTGTATCCAAGTAACCTTCCAGGAGGCATCCCTGAACCCAAGCCCTCCCAGTCTCTCAAGAACTTATGATCTTCCCAATTCTAGCTCGCATGCCCCTCTCTTCAGGGACGTGCCCCTCTGTGCCATTGTCGAAAGTGGTAGGGCTCAGACTTACAAGTCACTAAGGATATCCAAGGGCCGGAAGATGTCTCGAGGCAGTGTCTGCAAGTTATTGTTGGCCAGCGATCTGCAAGAGAGACTCCTGGGTCACCTGACTGAGGCCAAAGACCACAGGAGATGCAAAGCTTTGGTCCCGTGTGTGTGTGTCTGTGATGTACTCACAGGTGTGTCAAAGACTTGAGTCCTCTGAAGGTAAACTTGGATAGTGCCCAGATGTCGTTGTTCTCAATGAAGCTGGAGACAATGAGAATTTGTTGTAGATGCCACTCAGTACCCCAGACCCCCAATCAGCTACTTCTCTCCGCCCCAGCTAGATTCCTGCCCATGGTCCTAAGGCAGGCTTCCATTCTGATTCTGGTGACATGAATGAAGACTGGAGTGACAGGGCATCTGAAAGGGGTGGTTTAGGTAGAGGGATGGATGAAATGACCGTCTGCTTGAGTCCAGCAGTCAGAGGACTCAAGGGCTCTCCCTCCCCATTGTCCCCAGCCTTCCTCATCCAAGCTGCCCTCTCAGCCCACCCAGGCTGGGGCTCCCTCCTCCTTTCTGGTTCCCATTTCCCCCACTCCTTGACACACACAGGTACTGCAGGTGTGACAGTCCTGTGAAGGCGTTGTCTCCAATCAGAGTAAACTTGTTGGAGTTGAGTAACCTGGAGAGACAGAGAGCGATTAGAGCTTCCAAGGGTGTGCCCGCTGTGCCAGCCCCCAGCCTGCCACCATACCCTGGGGCTTCCTCACAGTCCCAGGGCCCTGCTGCCCCATGTTGGCACCCCAGAGCAGCCCAGCACCAAGATCAGCCAGGAGCTTGTTCTGGGCCCACAAACTGCTTCAAGGGTAGAAACAGCCAGGGGCAGAGCTCTCCTACCAAGCTGGGTCCTTCCCCAGTGTGTCTCTCTGTCTCTGTGTCTGCGTCCGTCCTCTGTCTCCCACCCTCACCCCAGCTCACTCACTCCCTGTCAGAGTGGTGGTGAGCTTGAGGGTAACCCATGCTGAAAAGGAGCTGGGGTAACTCACAAGCACTCTCTCCTGCGACTGGGGCTTCAAACAGGAACAGCCCTTGTTAAAATTCCACACCCTCCCCCATCCCTCCCTTTTGACCCCCAGCTCCTTCTTCAGATCCTGGTTCCCGGGGTCAACTGTCTCTAAGATGAGCCCTGTCCCCTGCAGTGTCCACCTTCTGGCACCATCTCCAGCTATTGCACCCAGTTCCTTTGGTCTCCAGAGGGGGCAAGTCCATTCCTCATTGGGCCCCAAATACCCACCATTGGTTTTCACAAGCACCCCCCACCTTCCTTCTCCCCACTACTGATCCCCGCACCCTTCCTGACTCTATGCTGCTCCACCTTTTGTGGCTTTCCTAAGCAGCAGAATTTTAAGGGACACCTGCCTCTTAACCTGCAATGGCTACCTGTATTTGTTCTCCTCTCCCCAGTCCAGGATCTGTCCCCTTCCACTGCCCCACCCCGTACCCGCCCTTCCCCAAGGTCCAGCGTCCTTACAGGAACTGCAGCAGGGGCAGGTGGGAAAATGCTCCATCCTGGATCTCTGAGAAGGCGGCATTCACCAGCGTCCTGCAGGGGACACTGGAGTCAGTACTGTGGGGACTACGCAGGGACTGGGGGTAGAAGGGCACCCAAGATGAACAGGGCACTGCTTCTCCACACTCTTACCCTGGACACTCCCCATTTCACCAGGCTGGGCCCCCTACCTGGGGCTATCTTTCTTTTCCCTTCAGAAACTCATTGCCTTCCTTCATGGCTATCCTCCCCTACGGCCTCCCTGAGCACCAGTGGCCCCAGGCTGAGCTTCCCCTTCAGCCAAAAAGAAGGTTCCATTACCCACACCTTCAAGATCATCCAAATGCCTACCGTGTGCTAGGTGCTGTTGAGGGATGGGGCACTGGAATGGGGGGTGGGGGAGTTAGCCTCCTGCTCTCAAGGACCACACAGCCCATCTGGTCCCTGAGGCCACTTACTGCAAGGGAAAGGCTGGCTGGCCCAGTCCAGAGTGGATGGAAGACCAGTGCAAGGCGGTGGTCCCGTGCCAGGGCACTGTGTGGGTGTATGTCCCTTCCACCCCTCCCCCTGCTTCCACCCTCCCTCCCCCTACAAAAAGCCTTTCTGCCCTTGGAGTGACATCACAGGCAGGGGACCACATGCTCTTGTAAACAACCCCTCCCCCCCACACCCGTACCCAGAGCCCTGCACACAGTAGGTCTCATTGATGCTGATGCGGGTGATGATGCATTCTTGGCCCTAAACTCCTGTTTTCCCCAGCCATGGCTGCTGAGCCTGCATGACTACAGAACTCCCAGCAGGGCTGGTGCCTTGTTTCTCCAGTCCTAAGGACCCCTGGAGTCCTCCTGCTCCCCACACTTTGTGCAGGGGAAACAGGGGTTTTCCCCATCCACTGTCAGAAGGCTCTTGCCTTGCTCCCTCTCTCCGCTCCCCCACCTCCTGAGCCAGGGCAGGACACTCACAGAGAGATGACCTCGGAGGGCAGGCTCCTGGGCACCGCCTTAGAGTCGACGCAGAAGGCGGTGTCCCTGGTGCAGGAGCAGCTGGGCGGGCAGGGGGGCGTCTTAGGGGGCCTCTTGGCACTGACTTGCAGCATCAGGCAGAAGCCGAGCGTGGACAGCGCCAGCAGCCGGAGCCCGGAGCCCCGCCTGGCCCGCAACCCTGCCATGCTGTCTGCAAGCTCTCTCGCGGGCCACCGGCCGCAGCCCCCGCCCCGCAGCTCTCCGCCACCCAGCGCGGGCTGCCACCTCCCGGCCACCGCCGCCGGCCGCCGCTGCCGCAGCTAGGAGCCCGGCTGCCCGCTGCGGAAAGCGGACTCCTCCGGCCCTCGGGCGCCGGCTCTGTCCCCTCCCCTACTCGTTCTCGCGAGCCGGCAAGGAGAGCTGCGCGGGCCCGGAGCCGAGCGAGGGCTGACCGGCGGGGGCGCGCGCAGGGCGGGGGTGGGGGTGGAGTGGCGGCGGGGGCGGGGGGGGGGTGGCGGGGGGGAGTCCCGTGCTGGGAGTAGCCCAAGAAAGGAGTGGTTGCGGCGGTCTCCGGGCCGCTGTATGCTTGCACGTCCGGCGCCCAGAGAGACTGTCGCGAGTGCAGGTGTGTGAGGTGTGCAAGAGCATCGTCTGCTGGCATGATTGTGCACGTGTGCGCCTCTGCCTCTGCACGGGCACTTGCATGTAGGCGCCTATCCCGTCGTGGGGGCATTGCTGCATTGTGGATCCCCGTGCCTCTGTGTGCCTATCTGTCGTGACCCTCAGGGGACATAACCTCTAAACAAGAGTTCATGGGTGTGTCATAAGCCACATGTGTGTGTAGCTGTGTTCACATGTGTTTCCACGAACCAGTGAACAGAATGTGCCTTTGTGTCTCTGGGAGCTGAAAAGGGAAATGTTTGTCACTGAGTCCGAGTGGGAGTGTGTGGAATTCTGGAACAGCTCTCCCTACCCAACCACAGACTGTTGAAGCTGGGTAGAGCAGACTAGTCCCATTTCACAGCCCAACACACTAAAGGAAAGGTAGAAAGATGTTTCCCAGGCCAGCTCTTTGTCACAAATGAGGAAACGGAGGCCCAAACTAAGAGGAAAGCAGCCCAGCTTGGTGTCACATCTACTGAGTGTTGTGTACTCTGCGTGCTTAATCCTTCCAACCTTTTAAGGTAGATGATATTAATCCCCTTTTACAGATAAGAGAAGTGAAGCTGGTGGTACCAGAGGAAAGGGACAGAACAGAGATTTCAACCCACTCTGCCCCAACTCCAAAGTTCAGAGTCAGATTTCTATACCAGGGCTTTCCAAAGCGTGGTCCAGGGAGTCCAGGAGAATCTTCCGGGGAGTCACTGAGGTCAAAATAATTGTCCTAAGAATGTTAAAACTTAATTTAACTTTTTTTTTACTTTCATACTCTCACAAAAGTACCCTGGAGTTTTCCAGAGGCTACACCATGTATCTTCAACTAAGCCAGCAATTAAAGAGATTTTCAAGGGGTACCTGGGTGGCTCAGTCCACTGAGAAGCCAAAGACTTGATTTTGGCTCAGGTCATGATTTCAGGGTCCTGGAATGGAGCCCAGCGTGGGGCTCAGCACATAGGAGGTAGTCTGCTAGAGGATTCTCTCACTCTCCCTCTGTCCCTCCCTCCGCTCATGTTCTCTCTCTCTTTCTAAATAAATAAATCTTGAAAAAAATAAAGAGATTTGCAAAAATGTAAAACAACGACACTCTTATCTCTAATTTTGTTTGCTTTGTAAAATCATTTTTAAGATTTATGTTACATATGTTAAAACAGAATGGGTTTATTATTGCAATGTTTACTAATTGATTAATACTTTTAAATTTCTCAGTAAATATCAATACAGTAAATATCAATAGATATAACCCACATAAACAGAAGACCATGGGGGTCCCCAATATTTTAAGAATGTTAAGGGGTCCTGAAACCAAAATGTTTGAGAACTGCTGCTCTCCTCCGTATTGCTTCCCTGGGGGTCTCTGTGTGGGACTGATTGTGCTGAAAGTTCGCACAGGATCAGGGGAGCCTGGAAGTCAGGTGAATGGGCTGCCTGTCTGGTGTTCTTTCCATAGCAGGCTAGGAAACTGAGATTGCTGGGTTTAAGATGGGTCCCCAGCTGTGCCCAGCCTCTGCCAGCAGGGACTTCTCTGGTCAGAGCTTACGTCTGCCCATGTTCTCTCAACCAGGGATGCCCTGTCCCTTTGATGCTCACTTGCCACTGCCCATCCAGCTGCCCGTGCAGCCCTCCGCATGCCAGCTTATGGGACAACAAGCGATGGGGGTGGGGAGGGAGGCCTGGGCAGCTGGGCAGCCGTCCCCACCCGTCCCTGGCACAGCTCTGCCCAGCGCACAAAGGGCGGAGTGATTCTTGTCCCAGCCACTGCAGCAGGGGAGCTGGAAGGGGGAAAAGAGGAGGTCCACATAGGAGGGGTGGCTACCATAGAGCTCTCCATCACCCACGGTTCTCCCAGAGGAATTTAGCCCAGAGACAGACAGAAAGGGGACGACTTTGCCCTATTCTGAGCTAGGGAGAAGAGCTGTTTGGGGGATGAAATAGATGATGTTAATCATGACGATTGGATTGATGATGTCATTGGATCCTCACAACAGCTTGGAGAAGGGGACAGGACAGGCAGACTAGTCCCATTTCACAGCCCAACACACTAAAGGAAAGGCAGAAAGATGTATTTGTTCAGGGTTGCAGAGCTGGCTAGTTAAGCATCAAGAGCTCCACTATTGACCGCTCCCCTGGAGCCCCTTCATGCTTGATGACCATCTTATCCTTGCATATGATGACATGCTGGCTGTGCGCATGCTCTGTGCCCTGCAGCAGGTACAAAGAAGCCTCAGGAAACCATGGTCTCAGGGCCAGTCTCCAGGGAAGATAGGGCAATGAGAAGCTCCCGCATTGCTGATGAGAACAGCAGTGAGGGCTAAGAGGCAGGTGAAAGGGCAGCAGGAGGCCCGGAGATTTGGGGGTGGGGGGGCGTGGCAGCCTGGGTCAGCAAGGTGGCAGAGCAGAGACCATTGGCCCTTCCCTGGCCTTTGGAGCTTGATGGCACTCGGAGAGGTGGAGAGGCATTGAGGGTGGGATTTCCAGGAGGGAGAAAAGGCCTAAATAAATGCCAACATGTGAGAAGTCTGCAGCAAAGCAGAGAACTGGGGTTGGGGGAGGGTGAATGGGGGGACAGCTCCTGATGCCCAGCTAAAGGTCCCTCCCTCCTCACTTCCGGAGAAAGATCTCTACTGGGTCAGTGTCAGAGGGGTAGGTGCTAGCATCTGAACTCCCCTTATGAAACGTAAGGGCAACCTTCCTTCCCCAACCTCCAAACGGCAAAAGCAAGTGAGGGGAAAAAAACAGAAAAAGAAAAACCATAAAGCTTGTGAGAATTACAGCCTAAGGGCATCCTTCAGGGGAGATTGAGGACCTGCGAGAACAGAGGCTTCTCTCCAAGAGACTCCTTTCTCAGCCCCAGCTGATGACAGCAAGCCCTCCACGCGGTGCCTGATTAGGACAAACCCCATAGCTGGACCCTGCGGCCCCCCGAGATGCCCGCAGGGACCCCGAGATGCTTGCAGTCCTCCTTGGCTCTCCCACTGGCCTGCTGCCCACCTGGCTCCGGCCCAGTGCATGGGAGTCAGCCAATCAATCCCAGTGTTGCCAGGACAACCCAGGGGCGGGAGAGGGGCGCTGGGGGTGGGCAGGGGTGGGCACCGCAGGCAGCTGTCTCCTACATCTGGCACCTGCACACATTTGAGAAGAAGATGCCTCTCCCTCCTCTCTGGACACCGCCCCCGCACCCCCCCTCCCCAGCCACCAACACACACTGTTCCTAGGACACTTGCTGCTAGAGGTTTCAGCAAATATTTAAAGGAGCAGTTGGTGTGGGGTGGGGGGTGAGGAGGGTGGTGGGAGCAAACATTCCCTTCCCTCCCCTCTCTCCTTCCCTGAGCTTCTCAGGCACTCTCAGCTCAGATGTCATGCTGTTGTGCAACCTGGAGGCTGAAGGCTCTCCTGCTGGAGAGGAGGTCCTCATGGGGTTGGGGCAACTCGCCAGGACTAGAGAGCTGGGGGCCAAGGTGCGAGGGAGCCCCCAGCCAGGGACAGGAACTGGGGTGAAGTGTTGGAAGTAAAGTAGCAGGAACCAGAGGAGTGAGGGTGGGCCGCTGACTTAGACACTTAGAAAGTTCCAAAGGAAAGGGCACTGTAGAGACCACCTGGCCCAGCAAGTGGAGGAGAACGCAAGAGAAGGGATGCAGCCATGGGTCGATTTGGTTTAGGACAACAAAGCAACAGATGCGGCTTTGAGGAGGGAGGTGAAATAGTTGGAAGGGGGAGGGAGAAGGTCCAGAAAGGGCATCACATGGGGTGAGGAGTATTCTTGGAGGAAATTTAGGGTCAAACGGTTTAAAAAGAGGAACCTAGAGGGATAGGGTTATAGGTGACACCAAACAGATGAGATTTAAGAATGAAGAGATTGGTGGGTACCTGGGGGGTTCAGTCGGTTAAGTGTCTGCCTTCGGCTCAGGTTGTGATCCGAGGGTCCTGGGATCCAGGCCCGCATCAGGCTCCCTGCTCAGCAGGAAGCCTGCTTCTCCCTCTGCTTGTGTTCTCTCTCTCTGTGTCTGTCAAATAACTAAATGAAATCTTAAAAAAAAAAAAAAAAGAATGAAGAGATTGGGACCCCATCAGTCATCACACCCAGCCCTGTGCTGGGCTGTCTGGGCACAAAAGAGAAGTGTCAAGTGTGGAATCTGCTATCAAAAGCCTTCCGCTTGATCTCTGAAAATAGTTCACTGTTTTCTTGATGCAGAAAACCCACCAAAATCATTCACATCAAGAGGTTCAAATCTTCACGTTCATTTTAAGAACACTCATGAAACTGCACAGGTCATCAAGGGCATGTACATGCCCAAAGCCACCAAGTATCTGAAGGAGTCACTTTACAGAAGCGATGCGCGCCATTCCATCATCATAACGGTGGCGCTGGTAGGTGTGCCCAGGGCCAAACGGTGGGCTGGACACAGGACCAGTGGCCTCAAAAGAGTGCTGAATTTTTGCTGCACCTGCTTAAAAATGCAGCGAGTAATGTTGAACTTGAGGGTTTAGATGTAGATGCTCTGGTCATTGAGCACATCCTGGTGAACAGAGCCCCCAGATGAGCCGCTAAATTTACAGAGCTCATGGTCGGATCCTCCCCACACTGAGATGATCCTTCCCGAAACAGAGCAGACTGTTCCCAGCCCAGAAGAGGAGGTGGTACAGATGAGAAAGATAGCCCACAAGAAGACTGGAAAAACAACAACGTATGGCCTGGGGATAAATTCAGCCTAAAATAAATGCGAATAAAAGCAGGCGGGAAAGGCCTTTAGCTTACAAACAGGCCCATAGCAAAGACTGAAAAACCACACAGTGGTAGGTAAAAATGTATAGCCAGAGGGGATGGAGTTTTCAGAATTAGGAAAAGAATGGCTACCGGCAAGGGAGGTTAGGTACCAGATGTGTGGGAAGAGCCCAGGCAGGTGGCATACTTGAAGTGAAAATGTGAAGCTCTCTGAGAAATGGCCACATGCAAACCCCCACACGGATGCCAATGCCGAAGCCCCCATCTGCCTCCAGCAGGGCCTCCTGGGTCGGCAGGATCTGCGTCCTCACTCCCCTTCCTGGCTTATCCCTGTGACGGGGGTGGTGGGGGATTCTGCTAGGAAGTGTAGTGGACTCCACACTGGGTCAGACCCCTGGCTGCCTGTGAGGTTCAACCTGGCGGAGGAACACGGAAAGCCACAGACTGCAGGGGCAGGTGCCAGCAAGAAAGGCGGCCAACGCCAGGAAGATACCTACCGTGAGAGGCGCAGATTGCCCAAGGGCAAGTTTGCTCAGCTCACCCAGTTTGCTCTGGCTGAAGCCAAGAGGACTCATGTGCCAGGGCCAAGGGCCCTCAGGGGCTCTTGCAGCTGGCTTATCGGGACCTCAGTTCTGGAGGGCCAGGAACAAACAGGCTTCAGAGTCAAGGGCTTGGCTGGCAGAAGGGGGCCGGATCCTTCACCTCTGTCCGCTCTCCCTACTGGCACATATAAGACCCTATTTGCACTTGTGGGATGAGAGGGTAAGGTGCCTGCAGCAAGATGGATGTGGGCAGCAAGGAGGTCTTGATTGAGAACCCGCCGGTGAGTATGACTGTGTGGGGACATGCGTGTGAGCTGGGCTCCGCCTCATCCAAGCTCTTCGAGCTGGTCTCTTCACCTAGCTTCATTCACTGAGTTAACGAGGACCGTGCTAAGTCAGGTCAGGGACACCAACCATTAAGGGAGAGTCCCTTGGGGAGAGGGACATGGCAACCAATCATTCCAGCATGAGGAGCCGAGAGCCACCCTAATGGTCAGTGGAAAGGGTTGCAGAGGGCACTGTGTAAGCAGCCACTATGCGGGGATTCACAGGAAGCTTCACAGAGAAAATGACATTTGAGCTGGCTTCAGAAGAATAGGTAGGAGCTCACTAGGTGGAGAAGGCAGGCACTGCAGGAAGAAGGGGTAGTATGTGTAAAGGCAGGGAGGTGTGAGAGAGCACACCCCATGGTCAGATCCTCCCCCACACTGAGATGATCCTTCCTAAAACAGAGCAGATTGGGGGAATTGTTCTGGGGAACAGAAAGGGATGGGGAGGGCTGGGGTGCCGGGGTACAGAGGAAACAGCAGGAGATGAGACTGGCTCTAGACTTCACATCTAAGCATTTCTGTTGGAATCCAGGCCACCTCCTCCAAGAAGCCTTCTCTGATCTCAGCCCTCCTCTGCACGTCCATAGCATTGGTGTCATGCTGTGGGAGGGTGTCTAGCTTGTGCAGGGAGAAGAGGCACCCTCTTCATGACCTCATACCTGTCTCTTTCCCTGTCCCACCATGCCAGGACTACTCGGCAGCTCCCCAGGGCCGTTTCGGCCTCCCCTGCTTCCCTTCGAGTCTCAAGCGCCTTCTCATCATAGTGGTGGTGATAGTCCTTGTGGTTGTGGTGATTGTAGGGGCCCTGCTAATGGGTCTTCACATGAGCCAGAAACACACTGAGATGGTGAGCAGACCCAGAACGGGGTAGGCAGTGGGTAGAGGACCCGCCAAAAAGGGGGGCTGGGTGGGCTGGGCAGAGAGTGAACTGTTCGAGGGGGATGGAGGGGAGGAGGTAAAGGGTGCCTCAAGAAAGAACAGAAGCAGGCACAGGGTGGCAACCCCGGCTTTGGCTTTTCCACCAGGCCTGTCGTTGGCCTGTCGCTGGCCTGGCAGCCTGTTCCTTCTAGCATCTGGTCCCACCCAACCACTCTGGGCTCTCAGCAAAGAAGGGACTGCATTTTAGTAAAGAGGGCTGAGGGTGGACATGGGGACCAAAGGGATGAGTGGAGAAAGAGAAATACCAGGCCACCCTGTGCCTTCCCCCAGGTCCTAGAGATGAGCCTTGGGGGCCCAGAAGCCCAGCAGCGCCTTGCCCTGCAGGAGCGTGCAGGCACCACTGCCACCTTCTCCATTGGCTCCACTGGCATCGTAGTGTATGACTACCAGCGGGTGGGTATCCCTGAGCCCCTGACCCTGGGGAGATGGCCCTATGACAAGACTGCTAGACCACGCAGCTGTGCCACTCCATGCACATCCATCTCTCCCCAGCCCCTAGCCCTTTCCTCCCCAGGCTGAGCCCCAGATTCCAACAGGTCTCCCTCTGGGGCCTAACCTAGAGGGAGATGGCCCCGGATCAGGGTTAGGGAGTAAGCAAGGCAGGGCCTTCCTGAATGCACTCTGGGGTTCCTGTGTTCAGCTCCTGATTGCCTATAAGCCAGCCCCGGGAACCTGTTGCTACATCATGAAGATGGCTCCGGAGAACATCCCAAGTCTCGAGGCTCTCACTAGAAAGTTCCAGAACTTCCAGGTAGGTGTGTTGGTGAGGAGGAGGGGGTTGTCCTCCTCCCAGGGCTGCTGGGAGGAGCATTTGAGATGGCAGCTGTTTGTCACCTGTAAAGTGCTACTCCCTGGGGACTGCCAGGTGTGTGCCCTTCTCTAAACTCACCTGTGCCACACCTTCCCTACCTGTTCCCCAGCTCTTCTCTGATGCCAAGCTGCTGGCCTCAGCTGAACCTCACCACCTGGGGGCTTCTGACTCCAGCACAGCCCCCTCTTCACTGGTGAGGAAAGTAAGACTTTTAGGAGGCTCAGAAAGATGGCCTGACACGCCAGAGGTCCCACAAGAAGAGCCACAGGCAAGACAGAAACTCAGGTCCAGGGCTCCAAATCATGTGTTCTTCCCAGGTCAAGCCTGCAGTGTCTACCTCTAAGCTGGGCCAGGAAGAGGGCCACGATGCTGGCTCAGCATCCCCTGGGGACCTGGACTTCCTGGGCACCACAGTGAGCACCCTATGTGGCGAGGTGCCCCTCTACTATATCTAGGACTCCGCAGGTGAGCAGGTGTGACCCGCAGGGCTTTGAGCAGCAGTGGCCCAGGAAGGCTGACGCCACCTTGACATGTCAGCTGACCAGGAATTGGGGAATCCACTGAGCTGGGTCATCTAGGGAGCTGGGTGTGGGGGAAGGTTCATAGATGGCCCCCTCCCAGTCTCTCTCCCTGACGTAATAAAGTGTTTCTTTGCTTCCTAGGACCTGTGGAAGCCCCAAGTGAAGAGGAAAGAGCCATGCGCTAAGGCTCTTCTGCAGAGAGGCAGAAAGCTGCTCCTACCCACACCCCAGACACTGGAGCTGGAGAAATGGGAGCTGTGGGGAGAGGTGGGAGCGGGCAGAGGAGATGCGGCTCCTAGGGCCAAGGGGTTCCTAGCACGAAAGAATAAAGCAGCCTGACTGAAAAACAAAGGATGCGCCTCTTCCATCCTCCCACACCCCCTCAGTCCTGCTCTTGGTGGGGCCAGTTAGGAGACGGATAGGTCCCTGGGGGAACGACGGGGCTTTCCCTCTTCCCCCCTCAGTCAGGGCGTGATGGGGGACAGGGGTTAGTGGCGAGGGGACGAGGCAATCCACGGGCTTTAGGCGCCCTCCAGTGGTGTCTCCCGAGAGGACGAGAGACAGAGACAGAGACCGACAGAACTCGAGAGACAGGGACCGCGATGGGAGAGTGCGAGGGTCCGAGAGAGGCAGAGACCGACAGACGCCGGCGGGGAAACGCTGTCGGAGACCGAGGGGCGGAGGCGCGCCGAAGCCGCGGAGCGACCTGACAGCGTGCCCCGCTGCCCGGGACGGGGCTCGGGCCCGGCGCCCGCGGTACGAGCCGCCGCTAGAGGGCACCTCGCGGGAGCGGCCGTCGGCCGGGCACCCCGGGGCCCGGCGCCCCCTCCCCGTCCCCGCCGGCCCGCGCGCCGGGCCGCCCGAGCCCCCTCCCGGGGCGGGCCCGCTCCGCGCCGTCCCCGCCCCCGGCTGGCGCACCGCCCGGCCCGGCCGAGCGCTGTCCCGAACCGGAGGGGGGCCGAGCTCCCGGCGAAAACCCGCCCTCCAGCGAGCTCATTTCCCTAAAAAGGGGGGGGGGAGGAGAGAAGGAAAGAGGAAAAGAAGGGAAGGGAGCAGAGAAGGCTGGAGGCGCAGGGAGAGGGCCGAGGAGCCGGGCCGGAGAGGGGGCGGGAGACAGGAAGGAGGGGGGCGAGGACAGGGGAGGGGGAGAGGTAGAGACGCGCGAGGGGGGGCAGCGCGGGGAGGGAGCGCGCGGGCGAGCGGAGGGGAGCGCCCTCCCCTCGCCGCCAGTCCTCCGCTTCCCCTCTCTCCGGCTCCCGCGTCCGGGCGCGACCCGCCGCCGCCGCCGCCGCCGCCACCGCGCCCGCCGCCGCCACCGCCGCCGCCGCCGCCGCGCCCTCCAGCATGCCCGGCGTGGCCCGCCTGCCGCTGCCGCTGCTGCTCTGGCTGCTGCTGCTCCCGCGCCCGGGCCGGCCTCTGGACTTGGCCGACTACACCTATGACCTGGGGGAGGAGGACGATTCGGAGCCCGTCAACTACAAAGACCCCTGCAAGGCGGGTAGGCGCCCCCCACCCTGCCGACCGGCCGCGGGGCGCAGGGGCCGGAGCGCGGGCAGGCCCGGCGGGGAGGCGCGGGCTGCTTAGGGTTCGGGGTTGGGGGAGGACAGTCCAGTGTGGGAAGCCGGGAGCTGCCTGGTTGGCAATGCAGTGGGGAACAAAAGAAAGAGGGAGAGAGGGAGGGGGAACTTTGGGGGACTTTTAGGACTGAAGTTTTGAGGCTATTCGTGGAAGCTGCTGCCGCTGCCTTCTCTTCCCAGAGGATTCCTGGGGAAAGCTCCTTGGGTCCCGGGAGAAACCTGCGGCCAAGGAGGCTTTTCCTCCTGCAGGAAACTTTTCTGGCCAAACTCCTCTGTGTGTGTGTGTGTGTGTGTGTGTGTGTGTGTGTGTGTGTGTACACGCGCGCACTTTTCCCTTCTCCCCCAGCTCGGGCTCCAGGACGTTGCTGTTTTCCAGCCTGTCTGGGCTGCCCCCCAGCCAGCACATCTGTCTGCCCAGGCGGTGCGGGAGGCCTGCATCTCCGAGGAGCAAGTCTCCTGAGGCCCCCCACCCAGCCCAAATGAAGGAAGAAAGTTTTTCAAGGGATCCTTTGATGTCATGCTCCTGGGGTATCCCTTGGTCCCTCCACCAAACAAGGCTTCTGGGACAGAGGAAACAGCTGTCAAAGTTAGAGAAGCCAGCCATGGAGGGGGGGATTACCTCTGCCCTTAGGTGCCAGAGGTACCTACCAAGGCCAAGTTGAGGTGGAAAGGGGAAAACCACAGAAAACTCAAATACTGTGTATCAGTTCTCTTAGTCCAAGACACTGGAGGCTAATTAGCTGAGGTCAGAGCCCTGGAGTGTGTGTTTGTCTGTGTGTGTGTGTTTTTTGTCCATGAAGACCCCATGTAACCCCATCACTCTTGCTGGACCCAGAGGGGTCTTGCCCCTGGAGTGATCAGATGGCCAGGCACTCAGGCCATTTGCCTAATCAGATGACGCTGAACAGGGCTGCCTGGAGCAAGAGAACACACAGGCCATAAGATACCATCAAAATCTTTCCTCAATTTCCTGCCTCTGATTTTGGCCTGTCTCCAAATAGCTAGGACCGGGGTAGTGGCCTGGTCCACTAGAGTGGACTTCTAGAGTTCTAGAAGTGCCTGTATGTGGCATAAGGGGTTGGGTCCCTTTATTTTTGACCCTGGGCTCCCTACTTTGGGTGGATGGATCACAGCCAGCTACAGAAGAGGTAGACCCTTCCTCCAGTGGGAGGAGGAGAAGCCAAATCTCTCAGCCCTTCTCCACCCTTGCTGGGCTGTGGGTAAACCAGACTCTAGCCATCATCTTTCTCCCTGGGCTTGGAGTGGGCATGAGGCTAAGCGGATGGAACTTGGGCTTTGGAGGCTGGCAGAACTAAGCTGTCAATCCTGGACCCACAACTCATTAGCTCTACCGCCTGGGGAATGTTAATTATCATCTCTGAACTTTGCTTTTCTCACCTGTAAAATGGAACTGATCCTATGTCTCTCTGTAGAGTTGGTGGTAAAGATTAAATATGAGAACATATATAAAACACTTATTAGAGATTAACACACAGTAAGCACTTAATAAATGTGTGCTGCCTACTCCCCTGTTTTCTATGCCTCACACTCCCACTTCTTCTTCTTTTTTTTTTTTTTTTTTTTTCTGAAGGAATGGGCTGGGTTTGCAGGAAAAGGGAGTGTCTCCCTGTCCCTGTCCTTGTGTCACTTATTCATTCAGCTGATCAACGTGGACTGAATGCTAATAATATGTGTCAGGCCCTGGGCTTGATGTTGGGGGAGAAAGAGAAAAGTGTAAGACATGTCCCCTGCCCTCAAAGGGCTTCCAGTCCGGGAGGGCACAAGATGGATGAGGATGTAATCAACTGCACCAACCAAGATGCGTTCCGTGCCACCTTGGAAGGACAAGGCTTAAAGGCTCAAGGAGCCTCTTCCCCCACTGCAGTCCTGGCGACGGTGGTGGTGGCAGAGAACCAGGGGTCACGGGAGGCTGGGAAGGTTTGGGGGTTCTTCATGGAGGAGGGAAGACCTCGAAGAATGGGAAGGAAGTCAATCTGACGTATCTCACTCCTGGAGGGTTTTGGAGTGATTCTTGGGAGGAGGCAGCTGGAGGCTGAGGGCTCTATCCCCAGTCTCAGATTTCATGCTAGGGTGGAGCTGGCTGACTTGGAACTTCAAACAAGGGCTCTGGAGAAGGCTCTGCCCCAGGGTGAAGTGAGGCTGGTGGGGAGCTGGGCCAGGCCTGGGGGTGGCCGAGAGGGCCCGAGAGCCTGACAAGGCCAAGAGTCAGGGTCAGATCAGGCCTCCCTCCTGGGCGTGACTGCTGCAGCCTTGCCTACCTCCGCCCTGACTCCCTAAGACCCCACACCAACAGCTTCATGCCTCAGGTCCCTAGGCTTTTATCTCTGTTCGTGTTGCTGTGTCCTCTTGCCCCCTCTGAGCCTCGCCGTCCGGGTGCTAGACGTGATGGTGGTGGAAGCACCCAGCTTTATGGCCTTCGGATGTCCCTGATAGGCCCACTTACGTCTGCTCCCTTGAGCCTTTCCGGCTCTCGCCTCTGGCCCTCCTTGCACACGAGGACTATTCCCAGTCCTGAAAGCCCTAGTGACTCCCCTGGATCACCTCTCAGGATAACCAGGCCCCTTCTTGTGAGATTACCTCCTTGCACTTACTGTCAGAGCTAGGGCAAAATTGAGGCCAGCAAGGCAAAATTAAGACCCTTGATACCCTGGAGAGTTTCCTGGATCTTGTGGGCAACACTAGAACAGTAAGTGGGAAGCTGCATTGGTCTGTGTGTGTGCTGAGAGCTGGTTCCACCAAGCTCACGCTCTGGTGTGTAAGCTCTCACGTGCACATATGAACTCTCTGTCTTCTCTCCTTCTTTCTCCCTTGCCCAGAGAGATTGTGAGCCTGATTTCTTGCATGGTAGGATGCCAAACCATCCGGGGGAACTTCCCTGAGATTCCCAGCTCTTGGGAGTGAACCTCGGGGCTCTGGGAGAGACCCAGGAGGCAGGAATTGGGACACAGTTGCTCCCATAGGCAGAGAAGCACACGGGGACTGCCCTGAGCCAGTGAGGACCTGACTTCAGCCCCTGATGCAGCTCACAGGTTTGCTCTTAGAAGAGGAGGTGGGGGAGTAGCTCACCAACCCTCATCACTGTCCCTACCCTACGGGCCTTCTGCCCCAGGTTTGGACTTCAAGGGCCCTCAGTCATAAGCTCTGGAGGTTGAGAAGCGATCCCTTCTCTTGCCGGACCACATTCCCCCTCCAGACACTCGGAATGAGTCACCCACCCACCTGTGCCCCTGCTCCCTGAGTCACCTTCTCTTTTAGGTGCCCCAAGGGAGGAAGAAAAGACTTAGAATCTCCCTGGGCTCCAGATGGAGGGGGACCAATGGGACTCCCCCAGAAAGAAGGAACTCTCAAGAATTCTAGTTTCTCCAGAGGTTTTGGGAGAAGATGTTGGGGGAGGATGGGGAGGGTGTAGAATGTGTCTCTCAGGCCACTAAGAGCCGCCTAAGGATATCAGGAGGAATCAGCTCATCTCTCTATGTCTCTCTCTCTCCACCCCCATTCATTTCTAAGGGTGCCCTTCTCCCTTCGGGGGTATGGGATGTGAAATGTATACATGGAATTAGCTGTGTGTTTGAATATATGAGGGCTTGCACAAGGAAGTAGTCAAGAGAGTGTTTGGGCACATTTGTGGGTGTCCCCCTGTTTTCTGGGCAAGTCCCTTCAACTGTGCACATGGGTACTCCGAGTGCACATCAGGAGGCGTGCAAATACGCGCCTGTGTTGCAGCACACAGCTGTGATTAAGTACACGCGCGAG